AATGCAAACTCTTTTTTTTTTTTGGATTTTTTCATTTTCATTTTTTTTGTTTTTTTTTTTAAAAGTGTAAAAGAAAATTATAACCGGGCCCCACTTGCTTCATTTTTATACTTCAACCTCTTTTCTTTATCATTTACCCTCAAACCTCATTGGTTCGCCAAATGACCCCTTTTACCATTGAAGATTGTAAGATGTAGCACATTAGGATGCATCAGGATGGTCTTTCATTTTTGGGTACATCTGTCCTAGACGGACCCAACCCCTATGTTGAGTCCCCAAAGTCAAATGCACATGATGCAAACAAACGTTCCTATTAGGAATCCGGCATGATGCTGAGTTATTCTAGGTTTAAAACCTGGGTGTATTTGTTCTAGACCTGGCTTACCCGAACAGACAGCTCGAGCCGAGGGGGGGCAGCGTACCGGGAATACAGAAGCTTCACCGACTTTGCAACTTGTCCGAACCTCGTTCTAAAATTGGAATGACTCTAACAGAAAAGAAGTCACACGAAGTGCACACTTCCCAGATGATTTGGAAGACTCAGAGAGAGGAGGGTTTCGTAACAATTTATGTACAGTCCAAACAATATCAAAGCGGTACAAAATGGCAATTAGCACATTAGGCTTAAACATATAAAAATTAGATAATAAATAAAAGCCAACTATAACAGGTATTCTAAGCTCGAATTCTGAACCCTGAACTAGAAGTTCTGGGTTCTATTCCCTAGTAGAGTCGCCAGATCTGTCACATCTCCTTTTTCTACCTCGAAAGGGGTACAGGGGAATTTTTTTCAATTTAAGTGACAATCGAAACGGAATTTATTTATTTATTCAGAGTCGTCATTTGGGATAATTTATGGTGTCCCAAGTCACCATTTTAAAATTCCGAATCGAGGAAAGTTGACTCTTATTTATGGTCTGCGAACACAGAAATCCGGGTAAGGAATTCTGTTAACCCGGGAGAAGGTGTTAGGCATTCCCGGGCTCCGTGGTTCTAGCACGGCCGCTCAACTATTAACATTGGCCTAATTATCCGATTAATTACACATTTTAAACCTACGTGCATTTTTTTACTTTCTAACCGCTTTTAATGTTTATAGAATTATTTTCTAGAACAGTCACGATTGTCGTACATATCGCGAACCGCATCACATGAAATGCACCCGCGATTTATAACATGTTTATTATTATTATTATTATGGTAGGGTCGCATGAAATGCACACACGAATTGAGATTATGTATCGTGACCATGCCACGGGAACCATACCCATAGTCACGATAATAGAAATACTTCTAAACCAGCACATAACATCATTTTAACTAACATCCTAGAAAGAGATAACCAGTCCTTTAAACATCTATCTGTCTACTAAAGATGCGAAATAAACCAGATATGCTGTGATTTTACTCAAAACAGTCCATGTGATATACTCATTACTACACAGAAGCAACGACTTCAAACTGTCGCCAAATGCATCAATCAATTCAGCAAACCATTACGGGAAAACTAGTCTTATACTGACTGTGATATCAAACAGTAGCAATATCTTGCTAGAAGGGATAATCTCTAACTTATTTAGTTTTAGACAAACAATCAAGAAAATATGACTATTCAATTCCATAAAATTCAAACCATTTACAAGATTAGATAACAAGCAAAAATGGACTATGGTAATTTCTGTCCCTTTATGTAATGTTTGTCCTTGGCCAATATTCATCTGGTGAAATCTTATTCGAAGATGCCATACAATTCGACACACAACAGTTTCAAGAGTTTTAAAGTTGAGAGCCATTTTGGTTATATACATGCATTTCATATGTACGTTGAAAGCCTCGTTTCATATGTACGCACAGACAGAATATTTCGATTCTGCCCGGAAACCTCAGACTACGATCTCACACGACTTTAACAGCTCGATTTTGATACAACTTGGCAAAAATAGATTTCGACAGTTTCAACGACTGTTGCCGATTTTCTGTTTGTTCGACAATGATGGTGCGACTCCGGCGAAACAGTGACAGTAGAAGGGGAAGAAGGTATAGAAACGACAGTTAGGTGCTGCAGTATAGGAAGAAGAAAACGAGCAGCGGGATCATGGGTTTATTCTCGCCGGCGTTCATGGTGTTCGACAGCAGCTGGCGCTGGCTGGAATTGAGGAGGTCATCACCGGCGAGTTGAAGAAGAAGAAGGGGTCAGCGACGGCGACTGTGTGTATCGTTCAGGTCTTTGGTTGGTGGAGTTCTGGTTATCGGCGAGAGACGCTGACTGTTGGCTCGTTCTCCGGCGAGGTCGAAGGCTGAAGAACGGCGGTCAGGGATCTCCTTTTTTGGTCTGGGCTGCTGATCTCCTAAGGTTAGGCTGCTGAATGTTTTTCGCTAGGGTTCTCTTGGTGAGGGTGACGATGGAGCTCTAGAGATTAGGGTTCTTTTGTCTTGTGTCCATTGTTGAGAAGGTAAAGAAGAAGATGAGGTCCTTGGTATTTTTGTGTGGAGAAGATTACATTTAGGGTATGTCCGTTAGGTTTTCGCTAGATTTCAGAAAAAGAAACGTAGCCTTCCAAAAATGGAAAACGGTTGTGTCTTCTTTTTAAAATCCCAAAATGGCTGATTCAAAAATCTAGGTCTAGGATTATTTTTTAAGCTTTTTTTCTAGGGTTTTAGGGCTATTGGGTTTGGGTTGTTATGAGTTAGGTCGGAAAATTAGGCCTAAAAATAGGTCATTTGAGCCCAAATTTTATTCTTTTCGCGAACGAGACTAAAAATACGACTTCATTTACTAATTAATTCTATTTAAATAAAATAACTATTAAAATAAGACTAACCGTTAAAACAAACCTATTTTTTGGTATTTTCAAATATCATATTAAAATAAAAATAAGGTACTATTTTTATATTTTTTTAGTTTTACGAAAGGTATATAAACTAAAAGTAACTAAAAAGAAGAAATATTTTTGTAATTTTCATTTTGTGATAAAATAAAGTAAAAGGGTCAAAACTAGTTAAATTAACTATATTAGATCTAAACTAAATATTTAGATACAAAAATGTGTAAAATCTTGGGGAGAGTCAAAAATCACATGTCTGCGGACATGTTAGTCTAAAAAAGTCATCTTGTTTTCCCTCCTAATAAAGAAGCTAGAATACATTTTAGTCCTAAATTTTAATCATGATTTCCCTTTTATTATAATTAAAATTAACCAATAAAAATGTATAGAATTATATATTTACTATTATATAAATAAGGTCATACGTATGACCTTAATGAATGAAATTATATAAACGGTTATTATATAAGCGGTCAATATTTTTATGAAACGCAACGATCTAACTAACATAAATATGACTATAACCTTATTAGTTAATGGACTTAATTGGTTGCTATAAGCCGATACGTATGACCTTAATGAATGAAATTATATAAACGGCTATTATATAAACAGTCGATATTATTATGAATCACAACTATATAATTAGCATAGGTTACTACAACCATATTAGTCAATAGACTTATATGGTTGCTATAGGCCAATACGTTTGACCTTAATGAATTAAATTATATAAACGGCTATTATATAAACGGTCGATATTACTATAAAGCGCAACGATCTAATTAGCATATGTAATATGCCTATAACCTTGGTATTTCAATAGACTTATATGGTTGTTATAGGCCGATATGACCTTAATAAATGAAATTATATAGACGGCTATTATATAAGTGGTCTATAATACTATGAATCAAAACAATATAATTATCATAGGTTATATGACTACAACCATATTAGTGAATGGACTTATATGGTTGCTATAGGCCGATACGTATGACCTTAATACAAACGGCTATTATATAAACGATCAATATTACTATGAATCATAACGATATAATTAGCATAGGTTATATGACTACAACCATATTAGTCAATGGACTTATATGGTTGTTATAGGCCGATACGTATGATCTTAATATAAATGGATATTATATAAACGGTCAATTTTACAATGAATCACAATGATATAATTAGCATATGTTATATGACTACAACCATATTAGTCAATGGACTTATATGGTTGCTATAGGTCGATACATATGACCTTAATATAAATGGCTATTATATGAACGGTCGATATTATTATGAATCACAACGATATAATTAGCATAGGTTATATGACTACAACCATATTATATAAACGGTTGATATTACTATGAATCACAACGATATAATTAATCAAAACTGTTATACTTTACCTCAATTCCTTCAGCTAGCCGAGGAGTTCCACCACCCCTACCACGACCTCTACCACCACCTTTACCACCACCTCTAGCACCACATTTACCACCACCCCTACCCTTCATATTACCTCTAACTCCACTTCCACCACCTGTTTGTGAACTTCTAAAGTATGAATCAATTCTCCCTTTATATCTATTCAACCTTGGACGTCCATGAGAAGCTACGTATCTAGGATCTCTTGTATTTCTTCCTTCACCCTCACCCTCACCCACACCATCATGTGTATCTTCCAATTCCCAATTTGGAACTACCATATCATCATCCCAATTCAAAAGTTCATGCTCCAATCTGTTCAAATCATACTTAATATATTGCCTCATCACTTCAGTGTCCAATGCAATATCACAAAACCGTTCAAAATGCTTTAATAGTTCCCTGTACATCATGTATTTAGAAGTCATACGTGGGTAACCTCCTAGAAAGAAACGTTTCAACTGCGGACGAACAATATCTTTTCTCCACCTTTTCAATATATACCTCTAATTAACGTTTTTAATCCTCTTATAATACAACACCTTAAGTATATGGCAGCATAGAATACCTCTTGTTTCAAACCACTTACAACTGCAACTTAGATATTCTCCAATAGGTGTATATTTAACCGTGAATACAAATGGATCTCTAGTGCTAAAACTCCTAAGCGAATAATCTGTTATAATGTATTTCTCCACTTCAGGGCTTGCTTGATGATCTTGAGGGGTGCTGATTTCACAATGGTACAGTTTCCTTGAACTGTACTTGAAAATATTCAAACACTTCACGAGTATAACATGCTTGAAGTTTTTCCTCCGATGCGACTTCAGATAAACATTTTGGTTTAAAGCACCTTGACCTATATTCAGCTTCCAATTCTTTCTCGAACTTAGCTCTTATGGCTAACTCATATTGCTGAACAAATAGCTTCAAAGTGCTTTGGCGGGTAATGATTCCATCAAAGAAAGCATGCATTCCTTTACTTCTTTGCGTGGACAACATCCCAGCCCAAAAGTGGTCATTTAGGTATACAGGAACCCATTTTTCCTTCTCCAAATAAAGCTTATAAAACCAATCCCTTCCATCTAAGTTATATTTTACAATATAATCAGTCCATCTTCTCTCAAACTCAGCAACGTTAATGTTATCAAGGACTAAAGCCTTATATTCTGCCTTTGCAATCTTACCATCAAGAACTCTACTTAACTTCGTAGGCAACTTTGCGAATTTGTGCCATATACAATATCTATGTACCGTATTTGGCATTAATGTATTGATGGCAGCCTTAATACTATCACATTGGTCAGTCATGATAGCTAATGGACGAACATTGTTTAGATCCCCAAGCCATGTAGAGAGCACCATTTTGTAACTTGTTATATCCTCACTAGATATAAAAGCACGTCCCAAAAGTATGGACTTCCTATGCTGACTGACACCAACAAATGAAGCAAATGGCATATTGTATCGATTCACAAGGTATGTGGTATCAAGGCATATTACATCATGGAACTCCTCATATGCAACCTTAGAGTGTGAATGAACTCATACGATATTACGAAGTCGATCAAAACTATCCACATCTACGGAGTAGTAAAATTCCCCATCTTCTTGCTGCATGTCACTGAAGAACTTGAGTAATGATTGTGCATCCACTTCTTGCAACTGAAGCTTTCTACTCTTCAAAATATAATTTCTACAGTCCTTTGATGTACAACTCAGATTTTCGGAGCCATCAGCAAGTACTTCAGTGACTCATATATTTTTTTAGGGTCTTAAGCCAGCAATATCTTTGGCTACAAGAGTTCTCTTAAGAGACTTACTAAGCGATATGTGTCAAGCCATCAATCGCGATAGTGATGGTTCCAATTGATGATTATGTTTTTTAACCACCTTTGAAATACGCCATGAACCATTCTCCTCCAAAATTTCATTTATTCTAGCACGGCAGTTCCTCCTCTTGGTAACATGCTTATTCCTTGATTTCCTAAACCTATCACAATCATATTGCACATACCTAACAATATCACCACCTTTTTTGTTTGATGTTCTTTTGACAATGCAAAACCCTGATAATCTTGCATGTTCTTTGTAAAAATCAAACATAACATCCTTATTACTTAACCGCAACCCAGTAATTGGACCAATTAATAGATTTTCTTCATTGAACTCATTAGACATTTCCTTGTCCTCTCCACCTTCTCCCTCTTCCTCTAAATAATGGTTGTCATCGTCATCATTATCATCATCATCAGCATCGTCAACATGATCTTCTCCATCATTGAAGTTGTCGTCTGAATCAATGTTGACCGACTCCTCTTCATTCATCAAACTGATGTCCGAATTCAACCCGAATGATATGTGTAATGCATTCCTTAGTTGCTCCGACCTAGTTTCTAAGTTGTTATTCGGGTTTAATGGCTCCAAACTAGTTTTTAGGTTAGCATTCATGTTTAGGTTAGGGGAAGGGTGGCGAATTATGTGTTTAATGAAAGCTCTCTTAACAAGGTATACCGTATAAATGAAAAAATAATATTATGTATACATACTAGACTTTTAATCTTCCCATCGTATAAATTGTATTTTTAAAAAAATACGTAATAATATAGGTATACCTATACGAAGGCTTTTGATCTTCCCATGCATGAGAGAATGATGATCTATGGAATCAATGTTTTGGGATAATCAATAGTTATTAACTAATTTTGGAAGGAAAAATGGCTATTAAGCCAAATATGAAATGAAGGGTTGTAATGATATTTCCCATTGTTGGGCCATGGAGAGTTTGGCCAAATAGCAGCACTCTAATCAAAAATAATAATTGTGGCGTGTAAGTTCCTTGAAATAACCGATAACTGAATCCTTGACCGCATTAGATGATTCACAACTAACTTATTCCATTTTAACAGTTTCCAAAGCAACATATGGCATACCTAAGTTCTTAACTAATTGATCCAGGCAACACACAAGCGTAAGGGTCAGAGAGGCCTAGCCGTAAAAGCACACTAAACAACATGCCTGCAGTCAGACCCAATTACGTAACTTGACTAGATAGCCAAGAGTGATATACGTCATTAAATGCAACAACGTATTTATTCATATCTCAATATCAACTAAGAGACGAAGAGTACCTAGTCCAAAAAGTCAACAATAGATATAGCAGTAGTAAAACTTGCATATTACATGCTCATGTCTTCAATACCAATACCAGCTACACAGATAAATCGCCGCATCTACATCTCCTGCTGCTACTCGTGCGACAGGTCCCATCAGTCTACCGCTGATACCCTTGTGCAACTCCAGTAGCAAGGAAACGAAATGGGTAATAACTTCACAGAAAATGCAAAATAAGTTAAATCTTGACTCCTTCAGTAGGTGGGACATCACGGAGACAGCTCACCTCCCTCCTTACAAAGGACGGCAAGGCAAAGGCAGCTTCATGCATCTGTCAATGGAATGATATATTGTGTCAGAGGAAAAAGGCAGTTTTTCTGGTTACTTTTCTTTTTTT